GTGTACATTTAAGAAAAAGATCAAAGCTGGATTGTTAAAAAAGTATATATGAAGTAGCTTAGTGTGTGTTTTGTATTAGAATTAGAAAAATTAGAAAGTTATTCATTTTGTTCTGTTACTTGAAGATTATTATGTCTGAAATAATTGTTTGAAAAAAGGGGCAGATAGAATAAGATTTTTTTCTTCTTCTGCTGCCTTTCATTTTAAATCTTTTGTATCTTTTTTATATTGTTATAGAATTGTTTTGTACCTTTTTAAAATGAATAAACTTTATACCATATGCAGGTAGCAGTAGGATAGCACTGTAATCTGCTTTATCAAAAGCAGGGTGGAGGATAGGTTTGTAACAGCCCTTAAATGGGGTATAACAATGGTCCAGAATCTGCCTCCCACCCCCACCCCCTCGGTGGGCAGAGATATGTGCTGATAAGGCCACAATGGCCCAAAAAGCTTCTATATTTGTCTTGGAAACAAACTGTGGCCTCATGTTTGGTGCTGGTAAAAAAAAACTGATTTCAGAAATAAGTCGACTGAGTTCCAATTTCCTTTTTTTTCTTTTAGATTCTACAAAGTATTGCAAACCATGTCCTATTTACAAAAGAAGAGCATATGAGGCCTTTTAACGATTTTGTTAAAAGCAACTTTGATGCAGCCAGGAGGTAAGCATTATTTTACTGTGTATACTAATCATTCTGCCTCTGCACACTGACCCATTTCATTTTACCTCGTATAGCAATGCAACAAGAGGTGTTACTTTTTAACTGTTTTGTTTTGAATAAATGTTGTGTGTTACCAGTCATTTCCTTAGATATTTAAAAATAAAATAAAACTTAACTGAATTTCTCCTAACCATTTAGTACAAAACAGAAGTATATAGGTGCTGGTGGTATCTCACTGAGCAGGACTGTATTCCTTTGTAACTCTAAGAAGGAAGTTGAACCCTGCAAAAGACATTCTAGAGACATTTGGAATACATGAATAACACCTGCTGACACTCTGTCTTGTACATAGCCCCCGTCAGAACTGTCTTGCAGGCTATGCAGCATACATTGTGTGAAGTGTCAGAATTTTGTGGACATGTTGGTTTACGTGCAACAGCGCATCCTTCTTCTGCATGTATCTTGTCAGTTGTCTTTCAACATCTAAGAATACATTTTCAAGTGAAAAACCGTCCTCTATATCCTGCTATCGCTGCTGGTGTTTGTTTGCTTAGCTACAGGATATGCATGACGTGTGCTACAGTGGGAGGGCAGAGGGAGAAATTATGATGATTCATTCCTCATGTCTTCTCCTTGACTATAAGTACTCAGTGCGCCAAAGACGTCTGAAACTACGCAATAACAGATCTGCTGGCTTACGTCTTGTTGAAATATAAACCAAGCTTGAGAGATCAACAGTCTTGTTGCTAGTTAAATGACCCCACTACACGTTCGTCTTGTCCTGTATTAAAAAGATGGATATTTTCGACCATGCTGGAGATTAAAAGAAGTGGGAGGCTCTTTCTCAATGCTCACAGATTTTCTCTTCTGTCTCTTATTGCCAAAGTTGGGAGTGAGATCCCAATGACTTTAGAACTGTTCTCACCCAACCCTGCAGTTTTCTGTTTCACTACATGCTGCACCCAGATGGGAGGCAGCTTGGTAGGGCTGGTTCAAGGTCTCATTTTACCTTATGACAGGTTAATTTTACACATTCTCTGAGACATCATCTTCCCCTATTATCTGACCTAATTGGTACTGATGTTTATTTTGCTTCTCAGAGGGAGAGTGGGGAGATTTGTGGCTTCAGTCTGCCTGGAGAAAGGATTAAAATTATAAACTTTCAAAGCTGTGGTATTGTGATGCCTGCATATATCAATGATTTTCACCATTGTTAGTAAATTGCACACAGTGTATAGAGAAGCGTCAGCATCAGAAGCATTTGTAATGTGGTGGGGGACACACGGTTGAGGTTGGGGGGTCTGAGGGGAAGTCTGATGGTCCTCCCTCAGAAAATTTTGAATAAAGTCTGCGTGAATGCAGCTAC